GTCTAACTTAGCTGGAAAAGGCCTCCATCGATGCCCTCTTGAAGCACTGAGCTTTGTAACAGTGCCTTGAAGGTTGGCATACAAGGACCATTGATGGGGAATGTACTTCTTTGTATGTTTATCTTATTGATTGTTTAATAAAGTTCTGTTTGGCCAATGAGACAGCAAGTTAGACAGGACTAGGAGTCAAAGAGGATTCTGGGAAATGTAGTAGAGAAGTGGTGATCCAAGCAGGAAGTGACATAGCAAGGAGGCTCATATTTAAGCAAAGAACACAGGAAGTATCTCCTTTCCCCCTCCACTCTTCCTCCAGCGGCGCCATGTGAGCCTCTGGCAAGAGAGGGTACCAGCGAAAGGCATCCTCTATAAGATAAGTCTTATAAAATATATAGGTTTATGATAGTTAAGACTGAGCTAACAGATGAGAATCCTAGTCATTGGCCAAGCAGCATTGTACCTAATGCAAGTCTCTCTGTGCATTAATTGGGGCCCTAACTCGGGCGGATGGCTGGCATAAAGCACACACGTGGCGGTGGGGCTCGGCGGCTTTTGGCGGAAAGATTTATCGTAACACAAATGAAAGAACTTAAAAAAAAAAAAAAGAAAGAAAAAAACCCTGTGCTCCCCAACATGGCCACACTTGCTTTGGCATCACTTTCCACAGAAGTAGCCAGGGGTGGTGGTGCATACCTCCCAGCACTCGGGAGGCAGACGCAGGCGGATCTCTGAGTTTGAGGCCAGCTTGGTCTACAGAGCGAGTTCCAGGACATGGGAGGCAGACGCAGGCGGATCTCTGAGTTTGAGGCCAGCCTGGTCTACAGAGCGAGTTCCAGGACAGGCTCCAAAGCTACACAGAGGATCCCTGTCTCAAAAAATAGAAACAAAACAAAAACCAAAAAAAAAAAAAAAAAAAAAAAAAAAAAAAAAAAACAAAAAACTTCCACAGAAATTGGGATTTAAAGCTAGAGTCTTGTTTTGCCTAGAGTTCCTGGGCAGAAGCCATTTTCCTGAGTGCTGACACTACTGTTTGCGGCTCAGTGCCAAGCTGCTCCCAGGACTGGTGAATTTGAGAGGAGAACATACGTGCAAACACACACATTCCCTTAAATGTTTGCATGCATGGTCAACACATGCTTGTAATTTCAGGAGTGGCGAGGCAAAGGCGAGAAGGGTCACTAGTTCCAGCTCCTACAAAGTCTACACAGAGACCATGTCTCAACAAAGAAGACAACGAGAAAACACACAAACAAACAAACCAACCCACCACATTTACGTAACAGTTATCATAGGTATACTGCTGAGCCCTGGTAGTGTCTTTACATTTTTATCTCTGTTCTTTCAGACTTTTTCCAGATAGGAAAACAGATGCACAGTTTAAATAACCTGCCTCGCCTTCTCAGCAGAGCGGGGCCCAGAGTCCCTGTCCACACTTGGTACCCCATGTGCTGGGTCTCCGTCTGCTTTCTCCTCACTTGCTCCACAGGCACGGTCTTCCTACCACAGCTGTGTCTGTACCACATCGTATCAATCAGCAGCAGGGTGAAGCAAACACCCACTCACAACTTCAGTCCCGCACGCACATTTTCCCAATGATAATCCAGTCACCCTTCAAGAGGTGACCACTCATCATCCTGACGTGGGTCACATGACTACCCATCCTTCCTGTTAAGTAACAGCCCCGGGACCAGGCTACTTTAGGATAAATTACCAGAAGGAAATATCAGAATGTCTGAATATCTGAGGTTGTCAGAGTCCTGAAAACCCCTTCAAGACAGTCCTGCCAGTTTTCATTCCCAGAACTAGGGGAAAGTTTTCCACATCATACTGAGTATTTTGGCCAAAACACTCAGTTTCTACATTTTGTGGCATGAGGTGGGATTTTCTAGCTCACTTGAAAGGTCAGAGTGTTACACGTAGTTGACTATCTGAAGAGTTTAGACAGCCCTTGCGGACACCTACCTACTAGCCAGCACTGTATCCCTTGAAACGGAAGTAGTAACAACTGTGGCGATATTGCCTGGAGCTGGTCTGTGGTGACTTCCTCGACGTTGCCATAATCCACAAAGCGCACTTTAACATTTCCACTTGGTAAAATCTCCTTTACCAGAGCCCGGTACCAGTTGCCATCACCTATAAGCAGCACAGAGTCTCTGACACAGTTTCTCTTCCTTTACACTCCAAGTTTTCTCTCAGGAAAATGTTCTTTACCACAAAGCTGGTAAATGTGTTCTCCAGGTCATAATTTCAGTTTTTCCTCAAAGTCCCTAGTCTGAGGAGGATCCCCAACATTCATTTTAGAATGTCTTCCCAGACTTTTTATAGCACTGACACCTGACACCTGACACCTGACACCTGACACAAGTCAGAGTCCATTCATACTCTATCCAAGAAACAGAGACATGGGAATAGATCCTGACATCCCCACTGCTCAGGGGTCAGATGCTTTGTTGTTAGTAAAACAACAAATGGTAAAAGTCTTGTCATGTGGTAAATGGCTTTTCACACCTGGCAATTCAGGTGTGGAAGGATAGAGTACTAAAGGCAAGATGTCATCCATGCACTAGGACAAGGTCTAAATGTTAGGAACCAAAAGGTCTGCACAGCCACTGACCCCAAATCTAACTTACCTGCAAAAAACGCGCAGCAAGGCCGTCCCAGCTCTGCCTTGAAGCCATCTGGCAGCTTCTGTGCACAATGCTCTGCTAAGGATGTGTTCAGTTCCTCCAGTTTCTTTAGAGCTGGAAACACAACACACAGAATGTTTGATGCTAAACAGACATTTCCTTTAATATCAGAGAACATGTTCAACCATGAAAATCTCAAATCTTTATCAATACTTGTTAAGCTAGGCTCAAACCACACAAATGGAAACATTGTAGCTATGAAAAATAACAGAGCCGAGAGAGAAGCATTATCCTGAACTATATCTTAGAACAGGAAAGGCCACCTGCTGGAAACCTAGCACAATCCAGTGCTGCTCTCCCAGGTTCACCACACATACAGAAGCTCCGAGAGGGATGTAGAGAACTCTCTACACCTATGCAAATAGCAAGTCTGTAACTTAACCTATTAAAGAAATACTCGAGCTGGTATCTAAGACATCGAGAAAGAAAGAATACAAAGCTTTGTGCATAGATGGTATCTACACACACATCAGGCTGCTTCTGCTTCTGCAAAAGACCTGCAGCCCACATGAAGAGAGATGGGTGTCCTTTACCCCTACACATTCTGAAACTCCTGAATTCTGTACTATATATTTGGAAGTCCACCTATGAAAGTCAGTAAGAGGGGAATTTAAAGTTTTGACTTCTTAGTAGTTTGACTTAGTAGTTTGACATTTTTATTTTATATGTCTGAGTGTTCTGCCTGCAGGTACATATACCATGTGACTGTCTGGTGCCAATGGAGATCAGGAGAGGGTATCAGAATCCCCCATTTCCTGTAACTGGAGTCTCAGATGGCTGTAAGCTGCTATGTGGGTGCTAAAAAACAAACCTGGGTCCTCAACTTGTCTTAACCACAAGTCATGTCTCTAGCACCCATCTCCAAGGTGATTCTAAATAAAGGAATTATGTATCTTAGAACTTGAGTCAAAGACTTAAATATCTAGTCTAACATATTAATTGGGCAGGAAAAAGAATGGGATTTAGAAAAGCAAACTCAACAATGTTCACAGTCACCACAACAGCTCAAATGAAACAGAAAATACAAAGTAGGAAGACATGGGGTGAACAGAAACCTCCAAGTGACAGCTGTCAGGATGAAAAGATGGCCAGCACTGATGACTCAACAGAAACACACTGATGACCCGACAGGAGGTCAGGATGAGTCGGCAGAAACACACTGAGCAGGGTTGAGTGCTCACATTGCCATCATTTCAAAGCCAGTCAAATGCCACAAAACAAACCACAACTAGAAACTGCTGTGCACCCATTATGCAACAACAACAAAAAATTCCAATTATTCAGAACAATGTGAAGAAATAGTAACAAAGGCAAAGCTAAAAATACATAATACGTGGTTATGTTTCATGTTGAAACATGTTCAAAACTAGGAAAAAATCAATCTATGCAGGCTCCACTTCCTTCTGAAGGAGAGAGAATGGGTAAGGACAGGAAGAGGGGGCAGGAAACTTCTGGGCTCCTGTCTACCAGGATGCTCTGTGGCCGTTACACTGCACTCCTGATACAGCATTTGGTCTCTAAGAATCTAACAGTCGGTGGCATCAACAAATATATTAAATTTCCAACTATGATGTTAGGAGACGCTGTGAAATCTAAAATGTTTAAATATGCAGGGCAGGGCTATAGACAGAATAAAGGTAAACTAAGTGTAATGAGTCTTCTGTGGAAACACAAATCCCTGCTCTTCCCTCAGAAAGGCAGGTGTACCATGGAGTAATGCACAAGTTACCCATTAATGCCCTGCAGAAAAAAAGATAAATGAGAAGAGCCAACTTACCATCATCTTTAAGAAAGTGGCAATAAAACTCCCCAGGATTGTACATCATACAGACCATCACATCCACGGTCTCGTCCACGGTGAACTCAACCCATGTCCACTCCAATGGCTCCACTGTTTCTTCTATGGCCAAGGGGACTGTGAAAATAACGGAACACTTTGCAAAAGGAGAAGACATAATTGGGATGGGGGCACTGTCACTGACAGAGCTGAGGAGGAATCTGGAAAAGTTCAATTTCCACTGACATTTTGGTGAGATTATAGGAAGGTGAACTCTACAATTCACAATTGCAGGTCACCTTGTCACTTGAGTGACTGTCACTCATTTCTGACTAATGACGCTTTCCACACATCTCTCTTTCACACACCTGGAGCGTATTCATGAGACTATTCAATTGACAAGACACTCAAACATCACTTCTCCTGAAATCCTGGCCCATGGACTGAGCTGTGGGAACTGCCTTACACTGTTTGCAGGACAGCCTACTTACCGCTGGCTGTGTGCACAGTGTTGTTTTTGTCTGCTGCCGTCTCCTTCTCCTCAACAGCAAAGCCCGAGTCTATGAGAGCTTTTGAAGTGCTGACGGGAGGTGTCACTGACTTGTCTACCAGCTCCACCACAGACCTGGTCCCCAGCATGTCCACCACTTTCACTGTGACCATTTTGTTCTGCACAATCTTTTTCATGAGACAAACGGCTTCTGGAGTCCAAATTCCTAATGATGGCTTCACTCCTAACAAGTAAGTGTTAAAAGATGTTAAAAATCAGTCCTAAAACAAGCATTTTTACATTTAACTTCATTTCTTCAGAGTTAAACAAATCTATGTCAAACACTGGAACCAAAACATGCCACCGAAACAGCAAGATTTTATAAACATGAAAAGGAGCAGAATTAAAAATGCTTCTGTACCTCAATATAACAACAACAAAACAAATCTTAATTCCATCCCTAGAAAACATCCAGAAAGTCAAATCTACAGAGAAAGAAAGATTGTCCATGCCTGGGACAGGCTGTCCTGTAAAACATGAGGTCTCAGGGTGTGATGGAAATGTCCTCAGACAGATCCTGCTTAGCCACGTGTGACCCACTCGAGTTTATTAAAAAAATAAACCTACTGAGTTTTATACCTAAAACGAGCATTCCTACAGAGCCTAAATAAAGCAATTAAGGTAATCACAACAAAGGTATAACACACCCCAGGAAAAAATTAACATGAGAGAGTTTTTTGGTTGTTTTGTGTGTATGTGTGCTTTCAATACAAATCAATAAATCAATACTGGAAGGTATTCATAAACCAGTAATTCAAAGGTCAGCTAGAGTTACCATAAAACTAAAGCAGGGTAAGTGGGCCTTCCACCAGCTTGTTAATGAAGCAAACTGGTGACTGGGAAAACTGCCCAGGGTGAGAGTTGCAGACTTGGCTCTGCAGCCCAAACATTCACTCCCTCCCACTTTTCTGAGGGGTGCACAAGCAAACAACCCTTTCCATGGAACAGGAGACAGTATGTCCAACAGACAGGACACTCTCATGGACACCTCATCGTCTGGGGGAACATACCCTCTGGAGGTGTTTTGCAGAACGGTCTTACGACACACGCAAGGGAAATGATCTTGGAATTAATGCAAACATGGCCAAAAGAATTAAAAAGAACATCACTGCTCAAAATGCAGAAATGTCTTAGATACAATCTGCAGTAATGCCAGACCTGTCAAGTTTGCTAAAGACAATGTATCAACGCGGGAGGAAGCCCTTGGTCCTATGGACAAGCACCTACCCAGTAATGGCTAAGCCTGGGATCTCAGTTCTCACTGTTCTGACAAACACAGTGAGACTGTCTCCCTGTTACAAGTTCTTTTCATACTTCCATTTTCATTTTTAATATTTGAAGAATGCACCATTTTACAAGTTCTTTTCATACTTCCATTTTCATTTTTAATATTTGAAGAATGGGAGGACCACAACATTTCATACCTGCCAGCACACAATTCAGAGCTTGCATCGGCAAGTCCAACAACTTTGGAATTATGGGACAAAGTCTTTTCAAACTAAGAATTTCAAAGTTTCCATAATCGACATATCCAACCAGGACAGACTCCTCAGAAGCATAGGCCAGAACCGAGGCGCGGTACCACTGGTCATCCTCTGAAACAAGGAGAGAGCCGTCTCAGACCCCCACCGCCAGCACAAATGCTCCCCATCTAGAGACAGCTACATGTCCACTCTGCTGGGACAGCAAGCACTGAGCATACGTGCTCACTAAACACTTCAGTCTTGCTTTCCAGAGGCCTCGTTTTCCCAAAGCAGGACCTGTGTTGTGCTCATGGGGTCAGAGGTGTCAGTCCCTCATGGTTGGGGTGTGGAGGGGCAGACCAGTTCACTTGTAGCAGGATGAGTTAACTGGATTCCAGCCAAAGAATGAGTATACCAGCAGTTTTCCCACTCTTTACTATTCAGTGAGCTAGCTGGGCTGTCCCCCAAGACAGGGGGAACAGAACTGGGCTTCTACAAAATAAAACTTGTGTAGTTACAAAGGTCATGACAGTTCTGGGCCTCCAAGCCCTCTTGATGTTTCAAACACAGCTCATGAAGTGGAAGGTTCTGCATCCCATACTTAAAAGAAAATAAAACAAAAAACCTTACCACTCCAGGCCCTTGATGCAAACGCTGTGTCCTTATATGTACCATTCTACAGTGCTTTGATCTAGTTTGGTCAGGCATGTTTAGGTATGTAGTCGGTGCATGTTAATACTCAAGCCCAAGCGTGGCCATCTGGTGTCAATCAAAGACTTACTCAACTGTATGCAGAGCATGTAGGTAGAGCATGTCCTCACCTGAGAACTGAGCACAGCACACATCGCCGATGGTTGGATAAAAATCAGAGCGTGGAGTCACTTGGCCACAGTATTCACTGAGGGATTCCTGAAGCTCTGCAAGCTTGTCTGTAGACACAAATCACATCTTAGACACAGGAGTGTGGTTCCTCACCTTGCGGGTCACAACACAACAAATGAAGCAAACTGACTCACGGCCACTCTGCAGCTGCTGACAAAAGAAGTCCTCTGGGGTCTGGATGTGGGCCACCACTCCACAGAACTCGTCACCCACGCTCAAGGTCAGCACTTTGGGGATCAGGGCATTTCTGTCTATAGCGACCTTGCTCTCAGGGGTCACTCTTCCAATGTCCTCAGCAGCGCCTTGTCAGGAAGCAGAAATGTGTGACTTGGCATTACGGAGGGAAACAAAACAGTTACAAAGCAACAAGAAAACCACAGACACTTGGTTGCTTTACAAGAAAGATTGAGTGTGGTGCAAAGATTGAGTTGCCACAGTCCTGGGTGATGACACCAAGTACTGCCTCAGGGGTGGGCCTTCAGAGAGGGGGGTCTCTGTATCACCAAAAGCTCAAAGAGTCTCAGGAAGGAAAACCATGGCATAAAAACATCAGACCTAACGAAAATGTTCAAGTAAAATAGCCACTCTCTAAGGAGCTCAGGGAAATATGATTTAGAGTTGGTTGTATCAGAGGGTCTTGAAGACACAGACCAGAACACATTTTACAATAAAGTATAACCCCATGGAAAACCATTTGCTGGATAAATGTACTGAATTTAATTAAAATTACACTTAAATGCATTAGTTCCAATGAGGAAAAAGTAACAGGAATACCGCATGGGCGGGACTCAGAGCTGGCATCAGAGACTGAAGCAGCAGGGGCTTGAACACCAACTCAGGATGCACAATAACTCCAAGGAATAAAAACAGATGGCCTACACAACTCCCACGTTCTCAATGACATTAACATATCAGAATTCCACAAGCCAAGACAATGACACTGTCCAGATAAAACCTGATGTCAGTTTCACCATTAACTCAGATGTGTACATCAGCAGATAAACAGTTTCCAGGACCAACGTCACAGACTTGAGGCCAAGGGAGCACTGTGACAGCCTCAAAAGCAGGGAGTATGCTTTCTAGGACAAACTTCCTACAATGTAGTGCAAGAGATTCTTGAAATTAGCTCAAAATTCCTCTGAAATGGCTCCAACCCAGCCAAGGTAAAGGCCAATGGTCTCAAATGTAACAGAGTAAACATCAAAAGTATTTGTGTTTCAGAAAATCAAAATATAAATGAAGAGTTGGACAAAAGAAAAACTCAATAGCAAGAAAAACAAACCACCATCCTGTTGTTGTACTGAAGAGATGAAGATCTGCCTGCTTCCGAGGAGTTCAATGTTGTCAGCATCTGCGGCCCCACATCTAAGCCCGCTGAGTGAATGACCATCACACTCTCCCCTTCAGTTCTTCAAATTCCGCAGAGCATCTGCCGAGGGCTCCAACCATCCCACAAAGCACATGCCGAAAGCCTGCTGTGTGTCATCTGGCATAAGGCGACTGGGAAGGAGCTGAGTAGGGAATCTATGCTCTCACAATTCTCAAGGCTGTGGGCAGGTGAGCCCGTCAAAAGACTGCACAACAGCATTCTGGGCATGGACAGTCTTCAACAGAAATGACAGGAACACTGCAGCAGGGCTGACACCAGTGCCTCACACGGTGTCCCAGGGTTTCTACTGCTGTGAGAAGATGCCATAACCATGGCAACTCTTACAAAGGATTTAACCGGGAGCTAGCTTACAGTTTCAGAGGCTTAGTCCATTTCCATCATAGGCAGAGGAGTGGTGGGAGCACCAGGGCACTCGAGGTGCTAGAGACGTAGCAGAGCCAGCGCTACCACCTCACCCACAGGCAGAACGGGAATGCCTGGGCAGGCTTTCAGAGTCTCACAGCCCTCCTCTAGCCACATACTTCCTCCAACAAGACCATATCTTCTCATCCTTCTACTCTTTTTAAATGGTGCCACTCCCTGGAGAGTAAGCACTCAAATATAAGTACCTACAGGGGTCATTCTTATTCAAACCACCACAGACAGGGCATAAAGCTTTGTCAGTCTGCCAGGTCCAGGGATAGCACAGCTTGAGGTCCTCAGGATGTTTAGCAATCTTCATCCCTTTCTCTTCCCTCTCTTCCAAAAGGGCTGTGGCTCCACAGTGCTGTCACTTTCCCATTCTGCACAGCTGGGACCTTCTGTGGTCGACCCCTGTCCTCACCCTAAGGTCAGGCCCCCTTCTCCTGTCCTCACCCTAAGGTCAGGCCCCCTTCTCCTGTCCACACCCTAAGGTCAGGCCCCCTTCTCCTGTCCACACCCTAAGGTCAGGCCCCCTCTCCTGCACCTTCTTCTTGAAGGTCAACTCCAGCCACCTGTCCCAAGTACAATTGCATTAGAGAATTTCTCAGGGGTCCAAAACTCTGGAGCTCCATTCTGCATTGTATTGAAGATGCTAGCTGATTTGCTGTTGAATGGCATAGCCTCAGTGGAGAATGTCCCCTAGCTCTGCATCTCTACAGAACTAAGCATTTGAATAGGCCTGCACCACTTAGATGGAGGGCTAAGGAAGTCTACATGAGGAGTGAGAACAGATGGTTAGGAGGGATCTGCAGGAAATTGAGTAGAGGCTGTTTGCGAGATTTGGCAGAGAGAGTTTAGGGAGAGGCTCAGGAGAAATGGCCTCTGCTATCACCAGAGGATGGTTAGAAAGCAGTTGATGAAAATCCTGGGATAAATGGAGTCTCCAGTTCACAGCATGGAACTGAGAGCTCTCAAAGATGACAAGATGCCTGTGTCTGGTCTTTATCGCCATTGGGTTGCTAGGAATTTCCGAGTCCACGCTCCCCCACTCAGGCGGGAGGGACCTCATGGCTTCTGTGGTTTGGGACTGAGACATGCCTGGCCACGATAAAATGGGACCCCAATTTGGGGAAAGAAGCCATGGACACCACAAAAAAATGGACACCAAAGAAGTAACGAACAAGGCAGAGGTGTGGACACTGCCAAGAGATAGAAGAACTCGCAGAAGAAAGAAAAAAAGTGGTTGGGTATGGTGAGTGAACAGTGTTAGGTCAAGAATAAAATTGTATATAATTGTAGAAATAGGAAACATATTTGTAAGATAAAATAGGAAGACATCAGTCAACAGCTGACATAAAGGTGAAATGGGTTATTTAACCCTAAAAGTAGAAATGTGCACAAAAGTAAATATAAGACAGAAATGTCAGGCAGCTGCTGACAGAAAAGGTAAAGTGGGTTATTTAACCCTAAAAGTCCAAAGGTGCACAAAGTACATGTGAGACTGAAATGTCAGGTGATAAAGTAGTAAAATGTAGCGAGTTAGACTCCAGAGTGAAAACTGCAGGTGATTGTAGATACGAGACACGAACATTAGCCAGATAGTAAAGAGAAGTAAGTTAGCCTTGAAAGTAAAAATGTATTCAGTGAGAGAGATCAGGCAGGTAATTGTTAGATGATTGTATATTTATTTACTTGGGTATAGTTTAATAGCCAGGAGAGCTTCCTGCTCTCAAAAGCCACTGCCGAGACTCTGACAGAGTCTCGAGTTGTGCCAGGGCTTGGGGAGACATAGATGTGGCCTCGAATACATGCAGGACCATATCTAGGAATGTAATGGAGAACAGAAAACTCCGCGCCTACTAAGGGGCAGCTGGATGGTAAAGAATATACAGGACAAATGATTGGGATCAGCAGGAAGAGAGAGTTAATAAACACCAAGATGGAGACGTCTTCACCTCCTTCAATTTAAACTGGGAATACAGAGAGGCAAATACTCAATAGTAAAATTCAGCAGAAGCTAAGAGGTTGAAAGTTTTAGCAAAATTGCTCTCACAGGATATGGGAAATTTACAAGTTTCCTCAGATCACAGAGAGGGAGGCTCAGGGGAACATAGCAGGATTCATGTGCCAATACCATTCAAACAGCTCAAGGAACTAAAGATGGCTTATGTCCAGTATGGACCAACAGCAATTTTTACCCAGAGACTGATAGGGAATATTCCTGTAGAAGCCTCACCCCTAGGAAACTGAAAGTGGGTAGCCAAGGCCTGGTATTTGTTATAGAGAGCAGGCAGGGACCTAGGGAGTTAGTTCAGAATTGGTTTCTAGGCCTGTGTGGACATTATCCAAAAAGGTTAGAGACACAGGTGTTGAAACTTTGATTGTGAGACATCTAGCTTATGAGAATGCTGGTACTGCATGCCAGGTCTCGCTAAGGCCTCACAGGAAGAGGACTGACGTAGGCAAGTTCATTAAGATTTTTCCAGTTATTGGAACTAGCTTATACTCAGGGATTAGCGATGGCAGCTGCCTTACAGGAACTTCATTTAAAGATATGTTATTCCTATAGAGAAAGCAAGGCATAGGAAGAAATGCAGAGGTTTCTAGAGGTTGCTTTGGACATGGTCAAGAAGGGCACTGGGTCAGACAGAGTCCCAACAAAAGAGGAAATAGGGAATCAGGTTTACACCCAAGATGCAGGAGAGGCAAGGAGACACAGACTATCTACAGTGAGCCAGAGGGCATACGGCAAGGAAGACCAAGGTCAAAACTTAGAAAACTTGCAGCCTTGGGAAATGTCACCATGGGCTGATACCCAGTCAAATGTATAAAAACTGCTATTAATACAGCCAGTCAGGAACTGTTTTGAGACCTTATGGAAAAGAAAGGGCAACATATTTAAGCCTAGATCTGTTCAAATTTTGGATGCTCATATTTCAAGGATTGGCTATAGCTACTGTGTTAAAGAAATTTCAATTAAGGATTTTTCTTTTCAACAAACTGATCATAACCTAGGCAAAAGGAGAAACGTGAGATGTATGCAAGTTATGAATGTTTGGTGTGGTCACATCTGGATGCATGATATGATTGTGAATTTGTGAATGTGGATGAAAGGAACTGCCTAAATTGCCTTGGATATGATTAGAGAGATACTTACATTGCCTTGGATATGTTTTAAAAAAACTACCAAAATTGCTTTAAATATAGTCAAAAAGGGCATCCAGTCAGTCAGTCAATGTTTTAACAGGAAAAATTAATGATTTGAGCCCTAGGAGACAGTCAAAAGAGATAACAGAAGCCTATAGTGTTAACTTAGGGACACGGGGAATCTGTAGATGATTCTATAAAATTTGGCAGAGGAGAGGATACAAGATCCTCCTAAATTTTTATGGTTAAAAAAAGAAAATCTAGAAAGTAAAAGTTGATACGTGATTTTAAAAAGGAATTGTGAGAAGAAGCCTCAGGAGACAGCCACCCTGTTAGATTCACAGCCTAAGTGTGTCAGCATAAATGCAAATTAGGCTGTGTCAGCTAAGATACAAATGAGGCCTTATCAGCTTGTCAGCTTCAAAGGTTAGATTAGAGAAGGCTGCTCAGAAACTAAGTAAATCTCAAGTTGTTTGGGACATATGTTGTATTCTAAAGAAATTAAGGCATAATAGATAACAATTAGAAAGGATCGTTTACAATCTTTAAATGAGTTTTTTTTTAGAAGTTGTTAAATATTCAATGGTTGAGTCCCTTTTTGGGGGCATCTAATGATGACTTAAAACCTTTAAAATAGATTCTGTAAGGAGGTAGTGATCCCAATTTACCCAGACAGCTAACTAAGATAGACAAGTCCTTCTAAAATTAGAGGAGGTGATTCAGCATCAACTGACATATTATATTGACTATGCAAAACCATGGGAAGCTTATGTGCTCCCCACAAAGCATAGTCCAACTTCTGTTCTATGGCAAGAGGAACCATTACTATGGTTACACCTACCTGCTTGCTAGCAAGTATTAAACCCTTATTTTAAAGTAGTAGCCTGCATGGTGCAGAAATGCCATGTAGATTCTAGGAGGTATTTTAGAAGAGAACCAAGTGTGATACATGTCCCTTGTTCCAAGCAACAGGTTGACTCGTTCAGAACAGTGATTCATGGGCAATTGCCTATGCTGTTTTCAGGAAAAACTGATAATCAGTTTGCAGTTCATAGGCTGTTACAATTTACTCTGATACATCCTTATATTCCCCAAAACTGTAAAATACCAGTCCTGTAAATAAAAATGCTATGTTAGTTTTTATTGATGGCTCTAATGGAATAGCTGCTTATGTTATTGATGGAGAGGAATAGGTGACACAGACAGCTCTAGCTTCAAACTCAAGTAATAGAATTACGAGATATTGCATGGTCTTTCAGCTCCTAATAATTCATTTAATTTGTATACTGACAGTCACTATGTCTTTAAGGCTCTTCAGGTAATAGAGACAGTTCCATGCATAGGATCCAGTAATAGTCAGGTCAGAATATTATTTGAGAAAATTCAAAATGCAATTCACCTGAGAAAATTGCCATGCTTTGTGGGTCATATAAGAGCCCACTCGAACCTTCCCAGGCAACTAGCTGAAGGGAACAGATCCCCAGGTAAATTAACAAAACTGATTGCTCTGTCCCAGACAGAGAGCGCAAGGCAGTCTCATAGCTTTCATCATCAGACTAGCAGAGTTTAAGAAAACAATTTGGCTTAACCACAGAGACTACTTGTCACATCATCAAACAATGTGGAATATGTCCACAGTATCTACCTGTGGCTAATTTAGGGGTGAATCCTTGAGACCTACTCCCCAACCACCTATGGCAAATGGATGTTATCTCATTGCAGAGTTTGGCAAGTTAAAAATACGTACACGTGGCAATTGACACATTCAGATTTCTTGATGTTATAAGTCACTGAGGATGTTTTTGCTTACATGGGAGTCCCAGAAATTATAAAGACAGACAACAGATATGGATATTATAATAAGGCATTTCAGTTATTTTATACTCATTGGGAAAATGATCAAAAGACAGGATCCTCCAGGACAAGGAACTATAGAACATACTCATAGCTCCTTAAAAACACAGCTTCTAAGATAACAAGGAGGGAGCTGTGCCCCCAGTCTCCACATGATGTGTTAAACCACGCACTGTTTATTTTAAACTTTTAAATATGGATGCCAGTGAGCAATTTGCTTCAGACAGATTCTGGCATGACGGAACTCGAGCGAATTTCACTCAAGTCAAATGGAAAGATCCATATACCAGACAATGATGGGTACCAGACCCCATTATATGGGGTCAAGGGCATGTCTGTGTTTTCTCGAAGGTGGAGAACGATGCATGCTGGCTGCTGGAGTGATTGGTAAGATGCGTGGAGCAGAGAGGAATCGGACCTGAGGCCTTGGGAGACAGTCTGAACCAGCTGGAGTGAAACACAGCCTGTGTTCCTGAACCTTGAGGACATCTGACCTACAACCAGAGGAGGAAAGGAGACAGACACCCAGTTCCAGTTTCCAAAGCCCCAGTTTCCCTACAGACAGACTACATCTACCTCTCTGAATCTATGAGTGCTCATCCCAGAACTGACTAAGAACCAGGCAACAAACAGCTTACCTTCTTGCCACATCTAGACACCCAAAACTGTTTTGCCAGTTTTCCCATTGGGAAAAAAGGACCCATTTAGGACAGTTGGGTACTGGTATAAACCAGAATGGCAGCCACTTCACAATGCTTAAATGAGACATGGACAACAGATTTTTCAGTTAAGATTCAAAGACTGTATTACAAACCTGATTTCAGAACTTTACAGACAACAGAAATTTGGACTTTAAGCAAGAAATAGAAAGTTTCAAAGGGCATTGAGCTCCAGGCAGGGAATAAAGGAAAACAGTTTTAAAATTGTGATATTGTTCACACCCCGAATATCGTGAGAATATCTTATTGTCTTTTGATTGTATTGTAACTCACCCTAATGTATGTACATGATGAAATTGTTAATGGCTGTAACCTTACTATATGTGTTATGCAAATGTCATTAGAAACTAGAACTCAGTTCATTCTAACAGGAATGTAACCTGTAATTCACAAGCCTTTGAAGGAACCAGCTCCCTTTCGGCAGTCATAACGGCCGAACACGTGCTTGTCTGACCTTGTCCTAGACACTAGAAAGTCAGATGCCTGCCTCGTGACAAGGAACCAATCAGAAGTTAGCTGATGGCACTACGCTTTACGACCCTGGGTGTACTTTACTGACAATCACACAGCAATGACGCAGAGCATAGCAACCGCCCTGGGAGGGCCTATGGGCCATAACAACCAGTTGGCCAATCAACACAGGGCAAACCCTCCAAGGCTGGAGGCACACCAATCCTGAGCCTGTGCGTACCCCTAGACACTCCCCTTACGCTGCCCTACAAGATCTCTCGGGAGGCCCTAGGAGTTGTCTTTTTCGAGCCATCCACCATGGCAGGTGGGTGAAAGACCCGAAATAACATGGGGTTAGCCTCATGCAGTTTGCATCAAGCTCTCAAATCCGCCTGGTGATTGGGGTGACCGCAGTCGTGGCCTGGGACCCCGGATACCTGAGTTTTTCGGGGGTCTAACACCTTAGAAGTATGTATAAGAGAGCAAACTTAAGTTGTGTCTGTACCAGAGGCACTGGGGACATTCCCACGCAGATTTTAAAAGGCCATTTAAACTCTTTTATACCTCTCTTTCCCACAGGAGAATGTTTGAGGCTGCAAGAGCTCAGGTGCTACTTCCCGGTGGATTTATTTTCTCATTCAGGAACAGACAGAGCTGGACCATGGCCCATTCCCCATTAACCTTATTTGTTACAGAGACTAATTCCATCCAGAGACGGGTACTGTTTTTCCTTGTCTCCAGCGAACACGCATGACAGAATGTGTGGTTCCATGACTGGTCCCCCCTGCTAGGTTGAAGGGAGCCTCCTAAACCAGGCGCAGTCATCTGTCCCACTGCAAAAGCATGGATTTCTTTTTATTAATTTTAGAGGGGAATTGTTGGGAGCCGAGTACAATTGCATTAGAGAATTTCTCAGGGGTCCAAAACTCTGGAGCTCCAGTCTGCATTGTATTGAAGATGCTAGCTGATTTGCTGTTGAATGGCATAGTCTCAGTGGAGAATGTCCCCTAGCTCTGCATCTCTACAGAACTAAGCATTTGAATAGGCCTGCACCACTTAGATGGAGGGCTAGGAAAGTCTACATGAGAAGTGAGAACAGATGGTTAGGAGGGATCTGCAGGAAATTGAGTAGAGGCTGTTTGCGAGATTTGGCAGAGAGAGTTTAGGGAGAGGCTCAGGAGAAATGGCCTCTGCTATCACCAGAGGATGGTTAGAAAGCAGTTGATGAAAATCCTGGGATAAATGGAGTCTCCAGTTCACAGCATGGAACTGAGAGCTCTCAAAGATGACAAGATGCCTGTGTCTGGTCTTTATCGCCATTGGGTTGCTAGGAATTTCCGAGTCCACGCTCCCCCACTCAGGCGGGAGGGACCTCATGGCTTCTGTGGTTTGGGACTGAGACATGCCGGGCCACAACAGCCACCCCTTACTTTGTTGTTCAGAGTCAACCATGTCCTTTTATATGGACGCCTTTTACAAATGTGTTCTTTAGATCTATATTCTTGCTTGGGGTGCTGCCTCCTCTAGACTACTTCATCACCCCAGTAGCAGCAGGCACCTTTACAGGGGTTGTTTCTCACATCTGTGAGCCACAGAATTCCTGTCCTTTTTACACCCATGGAGCCTCAGCAGAGTGGTCAGAGCTCTCTGGGCAGGTCCTTCTGCTCCTTGCTGCAGAAAGCTGACAGCACAGATGCCCTTTCCCAGAAGCACTTTCCTTTCTGCTGCTCTGACAAAGCTTTTCCTGCCCCTTCCCAGCTTTTGTGTCACAATTTCGCACCCTGTGGGCACCGGGTTTACCTCATCTTTCTTACACTGCACCATCAACACTTATGGTTATAAGCATGACTGCTAGTAGACCATTAATTCTTTAAATGTTTTGTTTTATCCTATAGATGGCAAAGAGATATTCAAGGTTTTTACCAAGATTTGTTTTAGAGATATCAAAAAAGCAAATGCCATAGGACACAGACAGGAGACAAAAGATAACCACAGAAGGTTGTTTTCATTGTGGTAAAGGTTCCTAAAGAGATGACGGTAAGATAAGAAAACATGGAAGGAGCGGGCATTGGTGGCACACACTTTTAATCGCAGCACTCGGGAGGCAGAGACAGGTGGATCTCTGTGAGTTCGAGACCAGCCTGGTCTACAGAGGGAGCTCCAGGACAGGCTCCAAAGCCAGAGAGAAACCCTGTCTCGAGGGAAAAAAAAGAAAAGAAAACATGGAGGGAAGGAGGGAAAAGATAACACCGTGGTGTTTGGCAAGAAAAAAACAATGAACTAGCAACCAAGTAACAGGACAGAAAGAGGAGGGTGGCAGACCTCAGGGGGGGGGTCCAGTCTGTCTTTGGGATGAACAGTCACCTCTACGCTGTGGACAAAAGAATTAGTTATGTCTACATCCAAAGCAAGTGGCAAAGGAGAAAAGGGAGAGAGAAATAGAAATAAAATCTATGCATATGAACAAGTCATGAAAGATTCCTAGGAAATTAACTCTCTTGTCAAACCTGATGCAAACATGCACGGACACACACACACAGTTAATGAGTAAAAAATAAGATCTTAAATGTCATCCAAGTAGCACAGCATTTCAGAGATCTCCTCATTTGGGGAGGGGGACCCATGCCAGGAATCAAAACAAACTAAGGCAACAAGAGCTGCAAAGCCCTCACCCCCCCAGTGTTGCT